TTATTCCCTTCTGTGCAGCAGCCTTTTCCCCTTTGAATAAAATCCCCTGTTTAGATTTTGCTTCTTTAGATTAAACAAGTTAGTTATTTTCAGTCTTTTCTCTTTAATGTGCTCTAGATCATTGATCTTTTTTGTTGTGTTGTTGTCAAGAAGAGTGATGCCAGAACAAGGTTCAGCTGAGTGTCAGCATAGTCCCTAGGCTTACAGATTGTATGCAAGTGAATGTGCCAGTATGCTTATGGTTTTTAACTCAATACTGGTTTGCTGTGCCTTCTGGATCTGCTTTCATACCAGTCATCCCTCATCTGCATCTGTGTGTTTGTTTATTCCTGTTTGTCTTTATTAACTTGCATCTTGCTCATTTCCAAAAACTGTGGTTTGTTAAGCTCACTCTGAATTCTGTTTAGAAACCAGGATACTTGCAGTCCTTCACAGCTTCAAACATCCGTAGTGTGTCCTACCAGGCAGAGGCAGCCTAAGTCTGAATGAGTCAATTGGTTGTAGCTATAGAAAAGGACCCAGGCATTGAACATACTGCTCTTATGGGTCTGCCTGTATGTGCATGCTTGACTTGCGGGTGTACATCTCATTTTATTGTCCAAGAGGTACTTGTTCCATAAATTGCTTGTATTTCCCCTTCTTTGAGTTTCACTTGCCAGAAGGTTAAACACCACACCCCTGATTCTGCTCAGACTGGACTTTGGAATAACTGCAGGGGGTGCAGTGGATTTGGAAGGGGTATGCCAAGTTTAACCCAGATTTGCTCATTACCAAAAAGGCATTGTTTCAGGAATGCCGTTTACATTTTTTACTTTGGCTTGAGCTAGAGGTATCTAAACTTCAGATTACAAGTTGGATGAATGCAGAAAGGTTTGATTCTGTTTTTATGGATTTGCTTTAAAGCAAATGAGAGCTCTGCTTAAGTGTCAGATGGGAGATGAAGGCTTGGTGACAAAACAGTCATACTGCTCTGGATAGGTCAGGTTTCAATATGCACAAAATTCTCCCACATATACGATTCCTCATGGAAGTGATGTAACATATGCAACAAATAGGTGACTCTGTATCATGTTTCACCATAACTTAGTTTATTTAAAACACATTTTATTTTTAAGTGCTTTGAGTCATTTTTAGTTCCACTTCCATTAAGAAGGCTTCAGCTATATAAGGCAAAGTGGTCTGTCCATGCAGAATGCATCACTTCCTTTTTTAAGAGCTGACAGGTTAAACTGGCTTCCTATTGTCCTGAACACATCAGATACGGCTTTATCCTTATTGCTTAATTGTGTTTCTTTTGTGGAAGTACTGAAGATAAAACGGATTTGAGTTCTTAGTAGTCATGCTCCAAAGGCTTCTGAGAATTTGATCTCTTCCCTTTGGCTAGTGCCTGTATCAGAGCTGTTTCTAAATGCCTTTTGGACCCTTGTTCATTCCCACTGCCTGCCACATATCTGAAATGAAGGAAATATATGCTTAAGTAAAAGCAGATTTACAGTATCAGGATTTGTCCTGCATGTATGTTAGTAGCTAGCAGATACCCAGTATCTTCCAAAAAGGTCCTCTCCCTAGTATTTCTGTTGCCATTCTGCAGTGGTGCTCGCCATGCTCCATGCACAGCTCTCAAAACTGTTTCTATTTCTCCTCCCCAGTGCCACAGCCTGGATTATCTTCTGCTCACCCCCTGGAAAGAGAGAAAGGAAATGCTTCCTGTGACTTCTGTTATATATATTAGGTATATACATAAATATTATAGCTGCCAAAGCAGAGATGTATGTACACTGTGTTTAATTAAATATTTCATTTTTTTTGTTGGGGCAGTTTCTCTAACAAAAGATAAAGAACAGATATGATTGCACACACAAGCAGCCATCAGTCAGATGGCTGAGGCTAGGCTCTGGGAGTGCACTACCAAAAGTACACTAAGTCTCCTCTGGTGTGTGCATCTCATCTCTGGTGAGTGCATCTAAATCTCCTCTGGTCTCGAGGCTCTCTCTTTATTCATGATTCCTCCAGAGGTTCCAACATTTCAGAATAAAAGAGACCTAAATGCAAGTTTTGTTTATCACATCTTCTTCATTCTTATTGGTATTCATTAATGATGGGAGCAATCTGAAATTTGTATTGTGCAGACTTGACTTGATTCATACAAAAAACCCACAGAGGCCAATGACAAACACACAGTTCATTATGGTGATAATACAGAATAACCCTGAAGATAGTTTTGTATCTCCACCTGTTGCAAATCTGTTGACTTTCATACTTTGATAAATGTTTAAATTAAAGAAGCAGTGGAGTGAGAAATCCATAGCAGCATGAAAGATATGATTAAAACATGGTAGATTTCTCTCTAAAACTATGTTACCATTGCTTATGTTGTGCTCAAAGTATTTTCTGCTAACACCTGTCAGACTGGGCTGTTAGTTACTGTTTAGAAAACCACCAAAGAATGCCTTCCTCCTCTTCTTGGGCAGTCTCTAATTGCACGGTCTCTCGCAGGAGATCTCCAATCTGTTCTCTGGAAACAATGCGATTTTAATTCTCTGCACAAACTTTAAACAGCAGTTTACATACAGCACGCTTTCACCAAATAACTCTACCGAAAACACTGTTGACCTCTGCTCATAAACTTCTGTTTGTAGATCCCAACCACAAAATGTACTGCAAAAGTGTTCATGACCCAGTATTGTATATCTGTGTTTTAAGTGGTGCTTGCTGTCCCTGTACAAGATTGGGACATTGGCATGTTACTCAGAGGACATTCACATGGCTGTCAACTCTCCTTCCACCAGAAAAAGCTTACCAAGGCAGATCTGTGGGAGAAAGAAAATGCTGTCCCACTCACTTTTTAGATGGGAACTTGATGTATAAAGACATTGTGATTAACAGTAACAGAACTGGAAATAGTCCAGATGTTACATGCTTCAGGCTTGAGCCTAAAGGACAAGATTTCATTGAGATTCCTGTTCCCATCCTTCCATCACAAATAAGCAATCTTCATGTATCCAAACTAAAATAAGTTACAAGATGTAGTGTGCTTCTGAGAAGGTCAATGGGCTTATTGGATGGAGGGAGTTTAGCTGATGCATTTTCTGATAATTTTTAAAGGATTGCTATATTGTTTGGACCTGAGCAACTCTGAATTCACATTGCTATGAAATGACAGTAGTCAGTCTAACATTGAGCTGAGTTTATCTACCTCATCTCTGTTTTATCAAAAAGAAAAAATAAAAAAAGGATTTTTTTTCTCTTTTCAGTTTTTTTTACATTCTTTGATGTCTATAACCTGAAAAAAAAAAAAAAAGCATATGACTGAAAGATTACTATTATTTAAAAAAAAAAAAAAAAAAGTCAATTATTTCCCAGATATTGCTCATTTGCATTCAGAACACAGCTTTCAGCTCACAATTATCTCAATTGAGACTTTTCCAAAATGTTTCTGAAATCTGGAGACATTGATCATTAAGCAGCTAGCATCTCAGGCAAGAAGGTCTGTATGAGAGCCCCAAAGGCTTGCACATACACATCTGAGATTTTCTTATCTATAATAAGCACATAAATGTTACTATCATCTGATCTGCAACAATCATTTAAGTGTTGCTAACAGTCCTGTAATGTGATTCCAGTAATACTCAAATTCCGAATTTCTGAGAGAAGACGAGTAAGTACCTAGTACCCAAAACAAAAACATTTGGGTATTAACTTTATAAAAAGCTGGTCAAAAATGGTAAACCAAATTGCTGGCCTGTGATCTTTTGACCTGTAACTACAGGAGTCTTACTGTCCTACTGCGTCATTCGTTTAGGATAGAATTGCTGATTTCAGAAATTAGCCTGCTAATTAGATCCATGATGGTCACTTTGGATTAGGAAGTCATTTTTAGCAGTGTTAAATGCTTGCCAGGGTATTGTTATAACATGTGCAGGCCTTTTGCTTTAGGATTTCCAAGTATCACACACAGCACATTCATATATGGTGCTGTGATACAAACTCTTCCCTATAAACTTGCTATAAACACCACTTACAGCAGAGGCTCCTGTCTGCCCATTTCTTGTAGCTTCTTTAAAAGAAACAAAACCACAGCATACAAAGCATGCTCTTTCAGATGTTGGAGTGATGCTAGGATCTTAAAGGGTTCCCTTAACCACCCAGAAGACCTTGAGAACATTTGCTGCCTTTAACATCTACCCAAACAAGAAAATATCTTCAACAAGGATTTACTTCATGTTTATAATTGACGTTCTGTCCAGTACTGGAAATTCAGTTGGCTTTAAGTATGGCTTTGTTCTTAGCACTCTTCTATGAATTCTATTCTGGGTGAACTTTTCCCAAAAAAGGAAGGGAACTGTAGTATGAGTAAAGCTTGTTGTTGAGGTATAATTTCAGCTACCTAAGGTTTTGCTTAAGTGTTTGAGACTAATGTCAAATGTATTTCTTTTATAAAAATAATATCCACAAAGTATGGAGAAAAACTGACATGATCACTTCCTTTATATCACCTTTCTACCGTATTGCTGCAGTGTTTTGGCAAAGGGAGTATACTGTATTGTTACACCTGTGCTCACACCTCAATCAAGATAAGAAGTATGCTTCTGAAACCTATCTCCTCATTTCCCACCTGCCCTGCTGACTGGTTGGAAGCTTATTGCAGAGTAGTTAAAGAGTGTTTCCTTAGGCTGAAACCTAAACAAGACCTTTTGCTTTGAGATTTTGCCTAATGTGCCACAGTTACTTGGAATGTCTAGTCCACAGGAATACTCAAAAACTTCCTACAATACAGATATTAGATCATATTTTTCAGCCTATGCTACTTGACTTACTCATTTGCACATTACAGTTCAGTACTGTACCTTAGAGTTCAAGACAGTCAATGTTTGTGTGAAATGCTTTAGTAAAGAGGAAGTTCAGTGATCTAGAGAGACAGTGATTAGTTATAACTTACTAAGAACAGTCCTGTTTTCAAATCCTAGCCTTTTGTTTCAAACAAAGAAGGAACAGCCCCATAAGAATAATAGTTTTATTTATAGATTTACATATATAATACAAATAATAAGTTAAACATAATAAAAAAATTAAATAAAAGAGGAGGTTCCAGCCCTCATATGAATAGTTCCGTTTATAAAACAAAGACAAGTTTTAAAATAAAACCAGCATAAGTCTTAGGAGAATGAAGTAATTTCTATGCCATAACAGTTAAGTGAATGGAAGTGACATGCTGACTATGACAGTTGTAGCACTCAGTGAGTACTGAATCCTTACATCTCCTCAGTGTTGTGTACATACATGGAAAGAAGTGCCTTAGCTAGACTAAGGGGACATAGGAAGTGGAACTGGAAGTCCAGTCATACTGTCAAAGTTCCTTTCTTTAGCTCCCTTCTTCAATGTATAACCTCTGGGTGTACTCATACCAACACAGCTGCAATTGTCATCCTGAAGATTTTAGTGTTAGATCTGCAGAAGTGAGCCCTGTGTAGAGCCTGTTGCTTCAGTTGGAGTTGAGTTTGGTCCTTCCTCACACATTAAAAGGTAATTAAGTGATAAGTAGTGGTGCTATAATTCCTTGCATATTCTGATGCAAAGCATTGTCACCCACTCAATACTGCTGTTCACAGATTAGGTCTGACACAGCACTGCTCAGGGTGAGTCAGGTTTTAGACTGAAACCATGTACCAAATGCACACAAGTAAAAATGAGTTCAAGCTTAACCAATACTACCTGACCAGATACCAGTTCATAAATTAAGTGAACAGATAACTTGATATGTATAATACTATGCATGGGAATACTCATTTAAATGTTAAATATTTTCACTTCCCATGGAGTGGTTCTTGGTAATTCATAGTAGTGAGTTCACACCAGCTGTCTTTCTGCATCAGAAACTGATGTGAGTGGCAGACCACAGGAGCAGTTAAAAAGTAGACTCTTATAGTAAAGTCAGTACTTTGTGTCCTGGCATCAGCACAGACTTAAACTTGTTCATTTGAGTCCAGATGCAGGAAGATATCACTTGGGTTCAGGGAAAGAACGACTTTTGGTTAGCACTGCATTCATATGGGAGTCAATCCAGTTAAGGTATTTAGTAACTCTGGTGTAAACACCCGGCTTGTTTTGCTTTGCACAGCCATCTCCCCAGCTGACAATCCCATAAAGTGTCATCCTGCCATTGTGCTCACAGACCATGGGGCCGCCGGAATCTCCCTGAGAAGGCAAAGAGAGTAAATTAGGCTGTTTTCTGCAGATGGAGCCTTTGTAACATGGAACCTGTTACTGCTGTTCAGAACTGGAACAAGCAGTCAATACCTATGAGCTAGTTCTAATTTTTGAAAGCACTGTATAGGTAGAACCAAACACTCAGCACCTGCTGCAGCTAGAGCACAATCTGTACAGTAACAAGGTCTCTGCTCACCCCTAGCTTGCACAGACAGTAATTATTCTGGACACAGCACTTATGAAAGTTATGACAGCTGTTAGGCTAGTTATACAAGATGAAAGCCAGCATGTCCAATCCTTTATCAGAATTAATCATCCCCCTACACACAAGGTACTTGTACACCTATGGGTAACTCCTGTTTGTTTAGTGGCACACCCATGCTGCTTATTGAGGTGCAGGGAAGCAAAGCCAGTTTTGAGGAATCCATCTGAAGGCTTATCCTCCTGTAATCCACCTTTTGCCCCTCCAGAAAGCTATAGTTAAATAAAAGTGCAGGCTGACACTAGCACAGCTACTATATTCCTCTGATGTGTGTGATCTACTGGCCTTTGCTGGAATAAGTTGTAAATAAAGTTCTCAGGAGCAGTGGCAGAGACTGCAGCTGTTGCTCCTCCAAAGGCTGGTCTGGAGAGGTTAACACCTATCTAGATCCCCACCGGCTTCCCTGTGTTCAGCCACAGTACAGGGTCAACTCCCCTAGCTTTGCTGAGGAGCCTCTGTAGCAAGGACTCTCCTGACACTTAAAGTTAAGCAATGCTACCAGTTGATCCACATGATAAACATGCAGTTTAAAGTGTTTTGAAACAAGCAAACAAAACCTAGTTTTACCTTGCATGCATCAGTTGCCCACAGCGAGTCTCCAGCACAGACCATGTTGTCAGTAACTCTGACACTGTCATAGTATTTAGTTGTGCATTTGTCCTGTGATATTAAGTTCACACTGGCTGACATCAGTCTTTGAGCGTAGTAAATATCATCTGGATAGTAAAAGAAAAAAGTTTATTTTCACCCTCCAAGAGGAAAAACAAACAAGCTAACATGTTTCTAGTACTCATTGATGCAATGAAACAAGAAAGCCAACACCACCCTTAACCGTTCCAATTCTGATTTGGGGCTCTTACTTCCAGCTTATATGGCATTGTTTTACTTATACTGTTAGTGACTAAGTTTTTAAGAGAAAAAGAAGTGTTCCAACTGCAAACTGTGAAGCTCTTTTTTTTTTTTGAAATAGCTGGTGTTTTTTGGACAAAATTATGCATAGATGATATCCTTGCTTAATCCTCTAGCACAGCTTTGTCTTCTAGTTCTCAGTACATAAGGAATGCAAAGACAGCTGTTGATTACATCTTGGCTTACTGGGCATGGTTGACAGGTGTGAGAAGACTAAGGTAAGTCCTACTAGCAACTAGAAAGACCTAGAGAAAGTTAAAGAAAGGACCTCATAAGCACATAGAATATATAAAATAGCTGCAATGCTTTTTTCTCTTCTCGTCTTTTGGGGATCATGGTGTAGAAAATAACCAGTTTCCATACAGTTCAAGCAAAACTTTCAGAAGCGAAGTCATTCACTTACAATAATCCTGTTTTCCATAGCCAGCTATTTCACACTGGGTATTGTCACGTAGCTTAAGGTTCCTCTCTGGCAAGCAGACTGTTCTTACATACTTGGATTCTACTGCACACTGTCCAGAAGCTGTTCTTATTCTTACTAAAGCTAAGAAAAGAAGTCAGAGAGAACACATTTAAACTTCTAAAGCCAGCTCCCTTCACATTCTCTGAAAATAGAAAGATCCTGTACAGTTTATAGGGGTTCTGGTTGCATATGAACTCTCTCATTGCTTTTAGAATGGCTGTAGTCATTTACTAACAAAATTAATTTTCCAGCATTGAAACTGGTAAACATTGCAACTTAAACTACTTTCCTGAAAGAATAAGGGGTGATAAGTCAGGGATGAGGTGTTCTGTGAAAGGTCATCTTCAACCATATAAAAATACCAGTTTCCTGACTGTCTCTAGAGTGTGGCAGTCACCACACTCAAGAGGGCAGTTTATACTGAACTACTCTCCAGAAGTATTATGCAAGTGTTCTTTGTGCCTTTTTCTTAGTAGCGGGCGTCTGGTTAGGGTTATAGAATTTAAAGCATACAGTGGAAGAGCTGCATCAAGTTCAAGAACAGCAATTCTGTTCCATCCAAGTTAAAGAAACTTATCTGATTTTGTTGGCTTGTGTAAACTGGAGAGACTTCAGAGAGTCTAGATTAATTCAGGCAAACTTTTAGCTGATGAGGCATTCCTCTACCATAGCACATGCACACAGCAGGTGGATTTCTGTCTCTACCCACTGTACTTGACAGTGTGCCAGGTAATGCACTGAGGAGCTTTGCATCTGAGATGTCACAAATCAGACTGACACAAATGAAAGCTGCACCACAGGCCTGGTTCTCAGAAGCACCTGACTCCTGTTCCTCTTCATTTGTTCTCTGGTTCTACTTCTTATACTTGACATACACCATAATTACATAGCCTCCAGCTATCCTCAGTGTTTTAAAGGCTCATATTAAGATGACTTACCAATGTCATTCTCATTGCCACCTGTTTCATCTGTAAAGTCTGGGTGAGAGATAATTTCATCCACCATGAACACTTGTTCATTTTCATCAGTAACATTCAGTACGGACTTCCCAAGGAAGACTTTGTAGGCTGACGTTCTTGGTCTTCTTTTTGACCTGAGTGAAAGTAATAAGGCCCATGAAGGCTACTGGTTTCTGACAGTGAGGTCTGCAGTTTAAATCAAGTCCCAGTTCTGTTTCATGTTTACTTCAGTAAAGACAAGAAAAAGGAAAGTTGACACAGCTGTGACAGTTGATCCAGTACACTAAACGAAAGACTCTTGATTCACCACATAGAGTGAATAAGCCAGATGTCCAGGCACTGCAAAAATGCTTGTCTGGCTAGCTACTACTAATGCCAGGCATCAGCAATCAGACCCCCCAGCAGAATGCAGGGAGGATCAGCTTTCCACAAGGAAAAACACCCTAAATTAATTATTCAGCAACTCATCACCTTCCAGTACAACTGTTAAGTTTTGGTAACAGCTAAAGTAGAAGGAAATCCTGGTTCCAATTTTGGGTAAATTGGTTTGAATTGCATAATCCATCAAAGTTCGCAGTCTGTTAGCTCAGTCTGCTAAACCTGGACTTCCAAATACATGTTTATGGCTGCTCTTCTTATTCTGTGTAATTAAAAGAACATGCTAACTAGTTGATTTTCATCTTTGCTTAGTGAGGCAAAAAAAGACAGCTGAAGGAAGTTGCAGATGGACGGATGCAGAGCTGTACACACTTACGGATCATAAAAGCAGTGTGCTGCTGTAAGCACCCAGCAGGGGTCAATGAGGCTGCCACCGCACAGAAACTGGTCAATACCCAAGATGTTTTGGAAGATGCCAGCTATCCAAGGCTGAGACTCAACCTCAGCCTGCCTTCCACCAACAATTTTGAAGTACTTGCTGATGCTTCTCTGACCACATGTGCGCTCTGTGAGGAAGATATCATTCAGATCTACATTTCATTCAGATATTCACATGACAGACAAGCATATCCTCTGTTAGAAACAGTTCTCTTGAAAGTAATGTTACTTACCACACTTATCTACGTTGCAGGGTGTTTCTTGAAGGGAGAATCCCCTCCAGGTGTAACACCAGGGCCTGCTCCGTCCATTTGGGTTTCTGGAAGATACAGGAAGTATGCATGTCATTAACACAGTTTATGAAATGGTTGTCTTAGATTTTTAACTGTCCTGGAAAGGCCAGAGGTGCTCTGTTGCAAGATATGCCAGAGAAAGTGACTGTTTGAACACAGAATTGGTAGCTTTCATCATAGCTTTTACTCCTTTAAAAAATGTACCATCCTTCAAGACATTTCTAGGAATGCCATCACAGGAAGATGGATGTATCATCTTACCTGCAGTACTTGTGTTTGCCCAGTCCAAGCTGCAGAGCATTCTTCATGTCAGCATGGTAAGCACCTCTCTTGATTACTGAAGGAAGATCCCATAGTAAGCACTCTGGTTCAGTTGCTGTTCCTCTGTAGTTCTCCCCATTCCCAGTGTAGCATGTACTGTCATCATCTGAAAAGAAACAAAACCTTTACTTCTACCACAGAACAGATACAACAATGTCTGGACCATTTTTATGAAAAAGCATGCATTAGAAGTGAAAACAGATGGCTGATTATAGTGTTCCTATTTAATGTTTTCTATTTGAATTTTGCACATCAAATACCTCATGCTTTAAAGCATTTATGTTGTTTTAACAACTTCACTGTACTTCAGAATATAATTGTTTCCTCCTCTGGACACTCCCAAAGAAGATCATTTATTTTTACAAAGTGAAACATGAACGAGGAAATAGGGAACAGTTGTGAGGAAGCAGGGACAGAACTAGAGATCCCAGTTTTGCTCCAGTATTTAGCCAGTTCTCCTCAAATAATCTATTAGTATAAGGTGCTGCAGGATATCCACTCATGTTTTATGGGTACTGTTTTCACTTAGCACTTCATAAGTATTATGTGCTCATCTCTCCAATTACTTCAGCTATTATCAAGGAAGATTGATACTCTACCTATTTCACAGTGAAGCCCACCGTAACCTTCTGGGCACAGGCAACGATTTATTCTGCTGAAGAGGTAGTAGGTAACGCATGTTCCTCCATTCAGACAGTGACAGTCTGCAAGTAGAAAACCACTAATTAAAGGCAAAATATTTAAATGTTGAAGTAAAGTGAAGTGTAGTTGCAAACTAAGTTTTCTGTTTAAGTGTCATTAAAAAGTCCCTTCATCAAGGTTAACAAGCTCTTTTTAAATTAACAGGCAGATACTTACCCTTGTGTTTATGTGATGGTCTGTAGTGCTTCATGCCATAAGCCTACAGGGAAGAAAAAAGATATTTAAGGAAACTTTTGTTTGTTTTTTTTTGTTACCCATTACATGCCTAAGCTGTGTTCCCTACTGCATGCTCTCCCCAATGCTTTAAAAGGTTTTTGCTCATAGTTACCAGCTCAACTTGCTCTGCAGAGTCTGCATGCAAATGCAAAGTGGAACATAGTTTCAGCAGCACAGACAAGAAAATGCCATACCAAAAAAGGAGAAAAAAATAAAACCAAAACTAACAGTCTGAAAAACCTTTACCAACTCAGTCCACCACATCAGGTCAACACTGCAGGTATTTCTTCTGTGAGGACCTGGGCAGCTCTCAAGGGTCCCTGTGGAATCAGATTTCTCCCTCCCCACCTCTCAGTTCCTAAGCAGTACAAAGATGAAATATCCTCCAGCTGCCTGTCCTTTTAGTGACCTTCATGTTTTGTGTTTGTGCTATGGGATAATAGCCAGTAGATTTACACAACAATAGATTTTCAACCCGAACTCCAGGTTCTGCCTCCACTTTGCAGGCTGGATATTTGCTCCCATGGATAAAGAGATAAAACTAGTCTTTTTACAGGGGTCAAGGGGGTTTGTCTGAGCTGAAGTGTCACAGTAGCAACATAATTCCTTAATATCAGGAAATGGCTCTACTAATAGATGTTAACTGTCACATAAGTTCTGAGTCAAAAATACTCAGTCCATTGCTTTTTTTTTTTAAGGCTTTGCACTCAAGTAAGGTAAGGTGGAACTTTACTTAAGGTCTAATATCCACCTGCATGAAAGGCTATCAGATTCTTGGTACTTGGTGTCCAAAACTAGATTGCATTATGAGAAAATATAAGATAAATTTCTTGGTTATTGCATGGTGTCTTCACTATTTGTGCTCTAGAAGACACCTTAAGTTAGAAGAAAATCAGAAGGAAATCAAAGGGTTCAAAAAGGTTTCTTGGAAGTATATGTGCAGCAAACGTACATGCAAAGGCAGCAGAAAGAAGCATTCAGATTGAACTCCTAGTACCCTGTCCAAAGCAGAAGTATAATCAAAGAAATAAAAGTGGTTCCAACTAGAACCCCTCTAATTTATTTTAAAACTTACTGGATCTAGTCCCGTGACAAGAGTGGCAAGGGTTACTGAGAGGAAGATTAATAGCTTCATGGTGTTAGCTAACTTCTCACTTCGTTCCTCTTCTGTTTTGTTTTGATTCTGAAAAGGAAAGAGAATTTAGTAGCATGTTGTAGCCTGCAGCATCAGCTTTCTGTTGTCTTACTTGGTTTCAGTGTAAGTCACGATACAACTGACGAAAATTAAGAGGTCGCTTACTGTGGAAGATTGCATATTATTGCCGTAAGTTCAACAAAAGGTTGTTTCATTGCTTGAAGCTTTTTTTGTACATTTAAATACGTAGCCAGATTTTGTGACATGCAAATAAATGAGACAGGGAAATAGGAAAAATCTGTAGTCCTGGATACTGCAGCATAGACTAACAGTCAGAAAGTGGCAGATGGATTTAATTGCAGTCCAGCAGTTTGTACCTATCTAACTGATCATTACTACCTCGTAGCAAGACTCCTAAGAGCACTGAACAGCCCTTTTAAGACCTGGAAGGGAAAGCTCATGTTTTCAGTACCTCGGTAGCTGTCAGCTGCATCATGTTGATGCTGGGCACTTGCATAACCCTGCCTACCACAAACTCTTGACAGTCTGGTCTTGCGGTTACCTCACTGAGAGGTATTAGAGAGGCTTGGAATGCCTTCTGCCTTGACCTCTTACAGGCAGCTACTTCTTGTCATCAAGCTCATATGGTAGCAATCCTCCCAAATGGCTATTAAAAAAGACTAGTCTGGAAAAGTGATGCAGGAAGGAGCTACAAAGTACTCCTTTTTTTAAAAAGAAGAAATACAGTTCAAGTCAGGGAATTTCTTTCTGGGGAGGAAGAATGCACCCTCAGTTCATTAAAAACAATAGTAAGGTAACTATAAAGAATCATTAGGAGACTCCACAGGAACTTTCCTTTCATCTACATTAGCTTTTTTTTTTTCCCCCCCGCAGACTAGAGTTGGTGCCCCACGTTGTTTCTGCACCCCAGGCTTTCAGGTTGCACTAGCTGTTCTGTCACCAAACAGAGCGCCTACTGCCATCTCAGTGCATCTTCCAGCTTAATTCAAAGCACTGCAGTACAAGTACAGGCCACCCTGGGGCACAAACCAAAGCGTGGGAGAGCATCAGTGCATTCGTTTAAAAAATGCAGACCCAGTCCCAAGCGAACTGCTAATGCAGCTGCACCCCCTGCTTTGTAAGCAGCTCAGAAGGCAAGCCGTGCCTCACGCACACTGCTCAGATGCAGCTCGCATTTCTGCAGGCGCACTCTCCCTTCAGCACAAATCACCTGAGGACAGCTATTTTTAAAGGCGCTTAGCAGCTATACGAGTCACTCAGTCCCCTAAATGATTATTTTCTCAGGCCCATCCCTCAGCGCGCCTATCTCTGCTGCAAACCACGCGGCGGCCGGGAGCGGCCTCTCCCCTCGGCACCCCGGGGCAGCAGCGCCCTGCCCCGTCCCCACACCGCGAGCAGCGATGGCTTCTCCGTGCCGATACAGCCCGGAGCGGCACTTACCAGCCCAGGAGCGGGGCAGGAGGCCAGGCACCGCACGGCCGAAGCTGTGCCGGCAGCAGCCTGGGGCGGGCGCTATAAAGGCCCGGCCGGGGCGGTGCCGCCGCCGCTCCCCGCCCGCCCCGGGCCGGGCCGCCCCCGGGCCGTCCCCCGGGCTCACCTCGCCGCGGGGTGACTCAGGGCGGGGGTTTTCGGTTTCGGGGGGCACCGGCAGCCGGGCCGAGGTCCACGTGGGGCAGGGAGGCTGCTTTCGGCCTCCCCGCGGCCTCCGGCAGCTTTTACGAGAAGTTGTAAAATCAAAAGAGAAACGCGAGCGGCGGCCGTGAGCAGAACGGCTCGTGTCCAAACACGCCTGGAGACGCGAAGGAGCGTGGTGTGTTGTCCTCGGGTTTTTGTGGGGTTATCCCAGTGAGAGAAGCCCTAGCCCCCCAGCCATGAAGGGCATTACATGGGTTCCGGGGGGCCGAGGGCAGGATTTGCCGGCACCTGATGGAGGCCCTACCTGTGGCCGCAGCCGTGTGGGCTGGGAGCGTCGCTGTCCCTGCTCCTCAGAAACCCGCCGTTCGCCGAGCAGTGTCTGCCTTCCACAGAAATACTTGAAGCGCAGCCATTTCGTTAGATGGAATTGGTGATGTCAACTGTGCAAAAAATGCAGGCCCTGAAAACCCTGAAAAGCTGCCTTCTCTGTGCCCTGCCAGTGCGTTTTCTCCTCATGCTGTGACCTTGTGGCACTGTAGTGAAGAACACCATGGGCACGTAGCGTTTGTGGGCACAGCCGTCCTGTCTGCCTTCAGGTACTGCAGGTGACTAAGCCGAGGCAGGTCTCTGTGGGCTGTGTGGCAGATAAAAAGCAGTTTCTGCAGGGACTGCTTTAGAGCAGGGATTGATGTGAATTTCCCTTGCAATGTTTCTCACAGCTGGGCTATTCACAGCTTAAGGAGGCCACCCTTATGTGTTTGGCATGTAACTTCACTGGTAAGAGAATAGCGTAGTTTTCTTTCCCCCCTTTTCTGTTGAGTCTGTGATATAAGCATGCACTTATTCAGGTGCTTACATTCTCTATACCTTTTGTTGTTGTTGTTGTTGTTATGTTATCAGCTCTTCCGGCTCATGTGAGAACAGACCTCACCTCTGCTAAAAGCATGCTGAATCCACATTGACTGGATGGCAGGAACCGCGTCAAGAGAAACAGATCAAGTTGGAAGTCAAAGTGAACATAGGTAAAGAACAAATCTTTCTGCATCTCAGGAGGTTAATTTTCCTCACTCTCTCTGTGGTGAGTGAATATCACAAGCAAACTGATCCTTTAAGAAATAGGGTGGATAATGTGAAGGTAGAATCTCCATTGCACTTTCTTCACTCTAGAATACTGGCTGTGCACTGATCTTATTCTAGGTAATAAATTCCAGGAAAAACAATGCGGATTTTAAAATTACTCTGTAACTTTTATTCACTTAAAAAAAAAAAAATACACAACCCTTACATAATAAGTGAAGAAATGGGTCATGCTTTGGTTCATCATGGGTGAAGGGAAGGGACAAGCTGCCAGGAAGAGGAGGGCTCCTCCAGGTCTGGACAGCTCCTCTTCTTCCTCCTCCACCCCTCCCAAGGAAGAGGTGCCAGGCCTTGGCAGCTTCCTCAGACTTTCTGGAAAAGGAGTCAACACGAGCATCAGGATTTCCTCTTTCACACTTGCTCCCCAAGGAGTGCTGTAGAAGTGAGTAATGACCTTTGCCCTGAACTTCTGACCAAGCAGAGTAATGTCACCTGTTCATCTTCTTTTTCTTAAAACACAAAGATTCATTCTTGTTTCCCAGGTCAAAGAGGCAGAAACTTTTATTTTCACTGTGGCAAAAGACATGGCAAGAATCAAAATTCCCTGTTTCGACCCTTTGTCACAGATTTAGGTTTTTACTGTGTTACTTTTGATACTTTAATGGCAAGTGGCCTGGTCTATGGTGTTTCTTTGTTTCACTCAGACTGGTAAGTTACTGATCAGTAACACTCTGTTGGGTTTGCATTGCATCTTTGGTGTCATCTAATTCCTTTGGCATGAATATTTGCACCTAGGTAGGTGAACATATGATAGTGAAGTGATTGAACTCAAAATAATGTTTAGCAGAGATATCCAAACTTGCTGTAAATGAGTTTGCCTCGGTACTACAGGCAATCTCAAAGCAAACACGGTTGCATGATCTCCCTAAGTCTTAAGTGACTCTCTGGGAAGCAGAAATCGGTCAGATAATTTCCAGTGCCTGAGTTCACTGAGCTACCCAGCTGTTGGCTGGTACAACAAGATCTGAGGTGAGCTTGCAACTTAAATAGATCTTTGGATTTGTCATGTGCCCTGCCTACAGGCAGAAGCCATGGAAAACCTGTAGCCTGGTAGTTCTGGCAAGACCTCATAGCTGGACCTGCCTGCACAAATATGAAATGCATAGACCAAGTGAGTGGGAGGGGTGGCACAGGACCGGTTCTGCTACCAAAGCACTTTTGGTAGCTTCAGGGTCAAAATTTGTGCATTACTCCATGTTTCATGAATGTAGAAGGGCCCTGTTACAAGCCATGATATCTCTCCAGACTAAGATTGTGACAGGCCAGAGGAAAAGGAAGGTCTTTAACTCAAAATTGAACTTGTTTGGGGAAAAAAAAGTTAGCAAAATGAAGGGTCTTCTGAAAGTCTTTCAATGGAACCTATATGCACAGTAAATATAAATAGATGAGAAGCCATGTGACTTAAGAGAGAAACTATTGTACAGACCTATAAGCATGATTATACTTTGCCAGGCACTTTTGGCTTTCCACCGTCTAGTTCTTTTTTCCTTTTTCATATCTGTGGTTTCATCAATTTGATCTGTTATCTGAATTTAGGAGAGATGTATGCAGGATCATAGAATCATTAGGGTTGGAAAAGACCTCCAACATCATCTGGTCCAACCATCGCCCTACCACCAATGTCACCCACTAAACCATGTCCCTAAGTAGCAAGACCAACCTTTCCTTAAACACCCCCAGGGACGGTGACTCCACCACTTCCCTGGACAACATGTCCCACTGCCTGACTGCTCTTTCTGAGAAGAAATGTCTCCCAATTTCCAACCTAAACCTCCCCTGGTGCAACTTGAGGTCATTCCCTCTAGTTCTTTCACTAGTTATCTGTGAGAAGAGGCTGACCCCTAGCTCACAACAACTTCCTTTCAGGATGGTAGGGGAGCTACAAGATATGTCAGGGTTGATCTTGTAGAAAGCGATTTACTCTCCTGAATGAGGACAGTATCTGAACAAGAAAAAGCTATTTACAAAGTTTTAATTCATTCTGTCATTTACATAGTCAAGGCTGTTGATAATAAGTGTTTTTAGATTTCTTTTGTCTGTAACTGGATTATAGCACAGAGTGAAGAAAATGCATATGCCAATTATGAGCTGCTCATCTGATCCAAATCTAAATACCTTGCATTTGTACAGTATTTCTCTCCAATAATTCAGATGCAGTGGATCCAACCGTGAAGGCCAGTAGGATCAGACACATAGTCAGACGATTCCTACTTTACTGTGATTCTGATTTAGATTTCAGTTGCTGATAAAAATCTTGCTGATTATTTTAATTTATTGTTGAAGTAGCTTGAATGTTTCAGACTAGTCTGCCAGCCTGACTTAGCAAATTTAGAAACAATAACAGTTCATTCCAACTAGATGAGGACACAGACCCCTTCTAAATAAATAGATTTTTCTTATCTTAAAGTGGTTAGCTGAAAGATTATGAGGTTTACATTGTTTTTCGGGAGTTACTGGACTGGAGGTATTATTAGTTCTAGTGTTCTTTTTCACAGCTGTTGATAACAAAATATTAAATCTAGGGCAAAATACCATCCGCCACACATGGTTACTGGTAGTCCATCAGTAAACATCAAAAGGATTGAACTCAGAGTTTAAATAACCATGTAAACATTAGTACAAAGACCATAGAAGTGCCATTCTGTAAGGAAAAATAATCCCTCCTTGTGCTACCCTGATACTCCACACTAATATTCCCTGTCAGGGACACCCACTGTCCTAATCAGAATCTTCACATGTTTAGAATTATGGCAGTGCTTAGATACCTGCCCTAATCCCGAAGTCCTAGCACTGACAGCAGATGCTTCTCCAAGCTCCTGCTAAAGGTATTGGGGCTCAGTGCAGGGGGAGCAGTCTCGTGTTCAAGGCACTTTCAGAATCAGGGCTCAGATGTGCCTGAGGCTTTTTGTCAGCCTAAGTCTGGTGTTCGTGAGGAGCACGTTCTGGTTTGTATCACATATAAGTAATATCAGAGTTACTCCTCTGTCTAGTAATTATCTGGCTTGCCAGCACAGCTTCCCATGAAAAATCATTTGCAAGCCCTCCCTACTCATGGTGCATCAGGAATGGAGAGGTCTAAATTTGCATACGAGAAGTCATGTACCTGAACCTCTGTCATATCATATAAAAGAGCAGGGTTAAACCTTACGTTCAGTATTTAGTTTGTGGTTAGGAACACAAAAGCCAAGAAAGCACCTATAGATCATTTTGATGGGATTCGTCATGTCTGTAATGGTAATAGTTTTCTTCAAAATAAAATAGCTTGTCACTGAATTAAGTAGCTCTAGCTGTGCTTGTAGGGATATAAAGAACATAGCTATTTTTACGTCTGCTTTGTGTATCAGAATGGTGCTTCAAAATTAAACAATATTGTGTTACAGTAATTGTTTTGGTTTTGGATTATGGCAGAAAGGATTTCAAGGCAGCGATAAAATATTTCACAAGGCTATGGAATATTTTAGGTTGTTTTCAAATATTCTAGCTCCAGCTTCAAAAGCTTGGAAACTTTCCAGTAAAATATTTTATCAGACAAGTTCATTTTTAAAATCAGTTTACTTCTAGCCCTTCAGATAATCACAGGTATGACTGAGTAAACCAATAGGTTTTAAATGTAATCCAATAGATGTCAAATGTTACGTTATCACCATCAAGTTTAAAAAATAAAAAGAAATAAAGTTCTTTCTTTAATTGTATTCTCTTAAAATACAGCTCATCTGAATCCCAGGAATTTCCAGAGTAGTTGATTTTAAAGTCGTATGTGATTCATAAAAAATTCTTGTACTTTAATGACTCTTGATTACTTGTCAGTTGCTTGTGGTTAGAATCTGAAGCAAATGGTGATCTCATTTCCTTTAGGTATAATTCAGCTACTCAGGTTTATTTGTTTGTTTAAAATTTTGTTCCTTTTCCTTGCTGCCGACTGTATCTCTCTTATCTTTGCTATCTGTGTGGGCAGATGTAACTGAGAGTCTCAGCCTAGGGGCACTGGAGTCTCTCCGGATGCTTGTTGTAGTACTTGTTGTCCTGTGAGCAGCAGGAGTAGCCAGCCTTTTATCTCTAAGCCAGTGTAATCAAGAACTTACAAACTTGCTTCAATCACAACAATAAATTGCAGTGCTGTTAGCTCAGCTATTTTATTACACTAGGAGAGAATGCGGTTGAAGCTTTAAAACAATCTAACCTCTCTTAAGCATAGTTTTCCTGGATGCTGCAGCTGTGCTCTTCAAAGGCACTGGCTGCTAGAAGTTGACTTCTTAATAACAAACACAGATTGAGCACCTGTGAAATCCCCTGTCATTATGCCCACTTCACTCATGTGTAGAGTAGACAGCAAGTGTTTGATGAATAGTCTTTGCATACAATGTTTGTTGTTCCGGTGAGCTGTCAGGATACCATTTTGATTTTTTGTTTTTAACAGGAATGATCACATCTGAGGATTTCATCATCAGCTTTAAGTGCACCTGTCTTTAAATCAGGTTTTGTGTAGATTGAATCTCATTTAGCATTTGTAAAAATCCATAGATTATGAAAGTAGCCAATGTCTGAGATTTGTTGAAATTGCTTAGGTTGAGACAGCTAATATCTAAAGCAAAGATTAGTGGGAACTACAGATGTCACAGTTCTGTTTGCATTTAGCTCTAGGAATATCTTTAGTTTCTAGTTAGCTGGTAGCGCTGGAAAGAGAAAGAGGAGATACCTAAGTCTGAAGCTGTAAGACACAAAGCAAATACAGAGTGTTTTAGGTATAAAGCTGTGCTTGCCATGGTGGTCTCAAGTTCTGGAGTAGAGTGCTTCTTAAGGGAATTATATGTCTGCTTGCCGTATACTGATCTGGAATAGCACATTGAAATCTAACAGTCCGAAATTTACAGAAACAGCTGGCTTG